ATGTTACCCTATTTATTTATTTTTATAAAGTTTGCTGTTTTATAAAGTTCATTGTTCAGGCACAGAAATGTATTTCCTTTATAAGAGGATTGCTGTACTTTACAAACCACATTTAATCCATTAAAAACTCTTTTCACAATTGTTTAAGTGTTTTAGTATGCAAAAACTAGTGAAACAATCTCACCACTGTCCATCTGGCATATTTACCCTATTTATTTATTTTTATAAAGTTTGCTGTTTTATAAAGTTCATTGTTCAGGCACAGAAATGTATTTCCTTTATAAGAGGATTGCTGTACTTTACAAACCACATTTAATCCATTAAAAACTCTTTTCACAATTGTTTAAGTGTTTTAGTATGCAAAAACTAGTGAAACAATCTCACCACTGTCCATCTGGCATATAAATCCTCTGTCTTCATAACACGGTTCGTCCTTCCATTGCCCTATCTTATCAATAGGATGCGTTTTCATAGCAACACAATCAAACTAGAGGGAAAAAGCATATATGAATTATTAAAAAAATGTCAGCAACAAAGAAGAAAACCTTTTCCTCTTTGTGGCCAGTTTCAGTCTCTGTATTCTTCTACATTTAAATTCAGCTGGTATTTGGTGTGTAATGTATGTCCAACAACACTTTTTGCCTAGGAATTCCTTTGCAACAAGCTGCTATTCCTATAGGCTGTGTTAGTGCAGATCTACCCACTGCCTGCTTATCAGTTTCATAAGTTTATTATTATGGATATACTGGAGAGATCGTATTATTCTTGGGAAGAGCACTAAATACAAAAAGCAAATGTACTAAAATAAGACTATAAACATTCTGTCACACCATCAGCTTTACTTGTTACCAATTACATTTCAGAGTTAATTTTAAGGAATGACAAAGATGGCAAGGGAATGTTTTAAATAAGCAGTTAATCTATCTTATTGTGAAGGAAAGTACTGGTAAGGTGTGAAAGGAAGATGAAGAGACGTGGCAGAAAGAAAGGATGATCAGAGATCAGAAATATCTTCTTTGGGGAATTAATGGTACGCCAGATCTGCACTACAATTTACATTGGCATAATGGTGTCAGTCAGGAATGTGAAAAATCAACAGCATAGATGACCATATCAATGTGAAGTGTGAAAAATCAACAGCATAGATGACCATAACAATGCAGCTGGCTTCAGCAGTGTCATTGAGCATGCTCTGTTCACATGAGCATGTTCAGTACAAGCCAAGCAGCAAATCAGATGGTGGGAGAAACGTGATCCTGCATCGCTAGGGTTGCCAGCCATGCATGAGCATGTTCAGTACAAGCCAAGCAGCAAATCACAGGGTGGGAGAAACGTGATCCTGCATCTCTAGGGTTGCCAGCCATCCACTTTTGAATTGCAATGCCCAGTCATAAAGGGACCTTAGCAATGCCCTGTTAAAAGTCTGGTCAGTGGCACTGGGAACCACTATCAATGGGAACTTTGTAGGCAGTGCCTCTGGGTGAGAACAGTGTGCAGCGCCTCCTGGTCCCTCTGTCTGTGAGCGAAAAATGCTGGTTGTTTCCAGAGTGCAGCACTTGAGCTAGGATAGGCACTTCTGGCAATTTGTGACTGGGAGCCACCTGAGGTAAACTAGTGTCCCAACACTGGGGAAAAGAGGGGGAATTCTGGGGGTGTGAAATGTAAGTACTGAATGTAAGGAATGGAAGTAAGTGGGTAAATAAGCAATAATGCAAATCAATGTATAGTTGTGCAAATGTATGCACAATTGTGTTAATTATCATATGCTAATTGTTGTTTCAAATGTTGGTAGTGATGCATGAAGATTTTCCCAGGTGCTAACTCATCATAGAGCAATGAGCCTGATTACCAGTTTCTCATTTCTTCCAGTGCTACTTCAGAAGAACATAGCAGTATGTAGAATTAATATCTTTTACTAAATCACCAGAGGAGCTGGAGAAATTGGTTTAATAAAAGTTATTACCCTACCCACCTTGTCTCTCTCAAACTATGGCTACACTAGATGAAGCTGAGCTCCTGTAAGGTCAATTGACTTTTTGAAATATCTTCAAGCTAAATTTTCTTTAAAAAAAATTAGGGGGTAAAGTGGAACATGTGGTTTCTTCCCAGCTCCTTGTGCACATCCTCTCTTTTGGTTACCCACAAGCTTTTCCTAAATAGAAGTTATCTCTTTTTATGTCAGTAATGCATTCAAAAATCTTTGCCATCCAAATAGCAAATAGTTCTCTCATATCTTTGTGACCGAAGCCAGCCAGTCTCTCCTATAATGCTATAGAAAATCCTTGTAAAATTGCACTTTGTTCTTGCTTGAGAAATAGGGGAGTGATGAAGGCCACCATTTAAACACTCCACTTACATCAACAGAAGCCCTGAACCATGCAATATTACAACATTATTCCCAAATGCAACAGACATGAACACTGGGGAAACAAAGAGGCCTATGTAAGAAGTAAATTGAGCAGGTTATTTAAAGTCTGATTGCTTTCTCTAATTAAGTTATTGGAAATCTCTAATTATTGCTTACCTGAAGCAGATTGTGACCAGTCTCTGGTCGCAAAGAATCGTATAGGGTGATTTCTCCAACTATTGGTGAACCTGTAATCCAGTTTGTGTAATAAACCCCACTCCCATCGGTCCAAACAAAATGGAGCTCGGAATTTATATCATTCAATCCAATCCAGGTATCAGTACGGGCATCTTTTAAGTGGTAAGTGAGGAAAGCTGGAATAAAGCCAACATTTTTTTACAAGAAAGGAAGATGCATGAGGGAGGAAGGAAAGGAAACCTTGCACATACATATCTTTCCACTGATCAAGAAAGATGCTAGTATGTCCAGAATTAGGGCACAGGTACAAAAAAAAAAAACCACAACAAAAAACCAGCAAACAAAACCTGCTTAACTATTTATTTTTAAATAATCTTGTAAATGCAACATTTTACATTTTCCAGTCCCAGGATTTACCCTGTTGCCCAGTGTCTTGGATAGTAGGATCTTATTGTTTCCACCATTAAGGTGGTGTAAATGTTCCTTTCACTGAGTCTGAAAGGAGGATGCTTAGCACAGCCATCCACTTTAAACATATCTGTAATTGTCTACAGATCAAACATCCACTTGATGGCAACTATTAACACCTTCTAAAATAGCAGTATGTAGAGTTAATATATTTTACTAAATCACCAGAGGAGCTTTGTGAAACTCAAAAGTTTGTCTCTTTCAGCAGGATGTTCCTTTCACTGAGTCTGAAAGGAGGATGCTTAGCACAGCCATCCACTTTAAACATATCTGTAATTGTCTACAGATCAAACATCCACTTGATGGCAACTATTAACACCTTCTAAAATAGCAGTATGTAGAGTTAATATATTTTACTAAATCACCAGAGGAGCTTTGTGAAACTCAAAAGTTTGTCTCTTTCAGCAGG